TCAATATGAGGTGTACTAGAAGCTTGTGTTTTTTTAAATTAATATATCTCAAGATCCACTGATTTTAATTCTACGATAATAAAGCATTAACTATTAAATTAAATTGAATATATCTTAATCATTTTCAATATTAGGGGATTAGGGCTTGTTGTTTTCTTATTTAAATTAATATATTTTATTCACTATAGAATTTTAACTTTTTAACTATTTCTCTACCAAAACAAGTAAAAATGATTCTACAACTAGTTCATTATTTCAGAACTAATCATTTTCCAGAAAAGGGCGATGTTACAACGACAATAATACCTCTGATGATTTATTATTTATTAATTTTTAATTTAATTTTAAATTGACTTGTTTCTGATTAATTCTCTTTATAAACTAACGCAAAGTCTCAAACTATAATTAATACAAATGAAACATATAATAATAATACAAGTTTTTATCATAAATCATCTTAAACTACAATTATTATCATAATGCACATTAAAGATATAGTACCTCTTATAGCACAGTTTACATGTGCTCACATGTTACAATTTATTTATTTCTTCCAATGTTTATCAATTAAATTTGTATTTGTAATTCTTGTATGTTACAACTAGCCCAAAGGTTTTGTCTCAACTAACCTAAAAAGTGATAAATTTTATTATTTTCAATAAGATATATGAAATTTAAAATTAGTTTTTAATAATAACGCAAACCGATATTTTGAGACAATGTAATTTTACACTTTTGTACACTTTTGTTTACTAGAAGACGGTTTACATATTTCTTAGGAAAAATACTGTTTGATTACCGGTTTTCAACATGTGATTTTTGTATAAACCAAAGCAAAAATGTTGTTACTCATAGTAATTGATATTTGTTTAATTTTTTAGTTTATATCTAAAAAAATTTAAACATTGTTTATCTATATTTACCTATTTAATTTTACAATCCACATATATTCTAAACTATTGTTCAATAGCCTTGGTTTAGATTTTAGATTTATTATTGGTTTAGATTACGTATATATATATATATATATATATATATATATATATATATATATATGTGGGAGTTGTAATGATTATGATAATATATTTAATTAGAAACTCCCAACATAATAAAAAAATATAAATTTATTAACTATAAAAATATTTTCAATATCAAAAATATACATGACATGTCCGATTGTTTTTTACAAAACAAAACCAGCCTGCTTGATATCGCCACACACTCCCTGCCCAGTGTTGATCTCACAGTTTAAAAAAAAAAAATACAGGGAAACACGTTATAAAAATGTGGTGGGAAAGCAGATTATAGCAGACCAGTGTTGTAATACTGGTCAATTACAAATTTCCATGTTTCGTCAGCAGATCCACCGTATGTGGTGATTTGACCTGCCATCAACTCCATATTCTGCATAATGTTCTCGATCTAATGGGTATTAGTTATATCAGAATAACTTAATGTTTAGAATGCATAATTTATGGGTACAGTTTCCATTTCTGCAAGCGTTGCATTCGTATCTGATGAGTTCCGATCAGAGAAAGAAGTTGGCTCTTTATCCAAATCAGGATCATTGGTTTCTTTGACATAAGAGTCCAGAATTGTGGAATCCAATAAATTATGTCAAATTTTGTTTTGACTCGTCGTTGTCACCGATAATGGGAGGTAGCATTATAAGACGATTTGTTGAGTTAACAGAGAAAGAGAGGTTGAATTGCATTCCAATGAAAAGTTCAGGCTCCAAATTATTTTTTCTGTCAGCAATAAACACTGAGGTCTGGGTATACCAAATGAGTAACCTCGGAAGTCTGATCCAGATAGTAAGTGCGTTAACTATGATGGATTGGACTGGACATACCTTATAGGTCGTCACTGAAGACCAGTGATTATGGTGCTGCGTCAAAATCAATTTTTCTTAAATCTTCGAAAAATAAAACTCCTATATCTTCATCTCCATCACGTCGGGGTCACCAATGTGGGAGTTGTAATGATTATGATAATATATTTAATTAGAAACTCCCAACATAATAAAAAAATATAAATTTATTACCTATAAAAATATTTTCAATATCAAAAATATACATGACATGTCCGATTGTTTTTTACAAAACAAAACCAGCCTGCTTGATATCGCCACATATATATATATATATATATATATATATATATGCATGTGAGTACTTAATTCATCGATTTGCTATTTTCCGTGCAAACCCATTAACATATCAATTGAAGCTCGCCATTTACCTTCATTCAGTAAAATTATTTTTCCGTTAGATTTTTCACTTTTTCAATCCAAGAATAATGTTGAATTCAGTATGCAGAAAATGGCATTAATATTCCTTCAGCATTTCTTGCCGGATATTAAATGTGATCCACTTGCAAATCTGTTCGATGAAAATTTTTCTCTGTAAACTTTTGTTATTATCAGAAATGGTTTGTTAAAATTAATTGGTCAAGCATGTTAGTTTTGAATTCTGAAATAAAATTTTTGAAAATTATCTGAATATTTTCATTTAACATCGTAGGCAGCATTGCTGAAGAAACAACATAATTGAATAAAAAAATCGATTAACGTTAACTTTATCATTCAAATCAGCTGATCTGGCCTCTCGAAATTGTCGACGAAAAATTGTATCCGCACATACACCAAAAATATTGATTTTCAACTTTTTGCGGTTACTGTAATTTACCCTATGGCAAGGTAGAGATAGGTATATATTTTTCATCAATTTTACAATAATCTCCTATAAAATATACGAAACATTAATATGATTTTTCTTCAATTTCAATTTTCCAGAATTGATTTCATCTCACCTCCGCAAAGCGCGAGGTCGACAAAATTGTTTAATAATCTCATTACCTCTAATAGCTCATTGTTTTGTAAACAAAACAGTATCATATTTCATAATTATTATCTTATAGCCGGAATGTGAAACCATTTCTGGTGATTTAAAAGTATTATGTTACGCAAGGTGTTTGCTTACGATATTAATGCACCAGGATAGATTAAAATTTTATGAGTAATTAAATTAGGTAAAGATTAGAGAAATGAAAAAATGAAGACAAAAATTTGATTTGTTATAATAAAATAAATTTTACTGCGTTTGGCTTAAAAATTATTTCTCAAACGTAGACAAATATAAATTGTTATAACGACACAACTTGTATAAGATATATTGATAATTAAATAGGGTAAGATGGGGCACAAAGGTCCAATTTAATATTGAGCAATTATTTTATGAAAACCAAACTAATTATATAACAACAAATAACACATATCGAACAAACAACTATCTGACTATGTTCAGTAGAACTCTCAGCTATTTCATCATTGTAGAAATCTTTTTTGCTGTTTTTCAAAAGTTTGTAATCTGGTCTTTTTTACTTCATACACAGGGTAAATTAGGATAGTCATTGGGCAAACACGTCCCATCTTAATTTGATTTTAAAGGGATTTTACAAAATAAAATGAAATTATTCAACGAATGCAAGATATAAACTTTATGGGTGCATTTTTTACAGAGATAACATTATAAACAACTTAGATTTGTTTTTTGTCAGAAATATTTATCAGCGTAGTTGAAATAACTATTTGTTTAATTCATCTCATATAAAATAGCAATTTTTACCCAAATTTACATTTTTATTTGCGATTTTTTATTTTTTATATATTTACCAGGGTGAAGTTACTTTTATAAAGGTTATTCATAAAAAAAAAATTGAACTTAAAATTTTAAATTTCATAAAACAATTAAATTAAGTATATTTAAAAATTATATTGAGGTCTCGTAAACTAAACAACAGTGTCACAACAATGACACTAATAACCAAATAAAATACTTTTGTTATGGATTTTCAAACATTGCCGGTTTTTCCTCTGTAGCGACATCGTAAGAATCAAGTTGATGGCTAGTTACAAAATTTTTTCCTTCTACTTTTAAATATTGTTTGTTTTTTTTTATAATTATTTTTTTATTTGCATAGATTTATTGCTGATCAAAATAATACACATTTTTTAAGACAATATGCTGGGTGTAAATGCATCAAATATTGTTGTTAAATAATTCTTAACTTCACAGGTTTTTGAGATATGATGGTGGACTTTTGTGTTCGCCGATCTTAAAGCTCAACCCTAAAGTTAAAATTTTACAAATGCTGCAAAAATAAATTTGAACAACTCTGATTACAATCATTGTAACAAATCTCATTAAGAAACAGATTTAAATAAAATTAATATTCAAGAAGTGTATTATAACTAATTATTACGATCTTTGTTTGTTTCAGCCGAATCCCAGAATTGGAAACTAGTGCTCAGAAAATACAATGAAGTTAAAACGAGCCGAGGAGCTTTCGGTGAAACTTTCTTGATTGAACCGACTTCTAATACTCTTTGACTTGAGACGAAAATCGAATGCGACTGTGACAGACAATATTAACTCTCTGATGTACCATTATCACCTCCTAGCAACAAAAATACGGTTTCCTTATTTGAAATTCAAATTCTGATGAAACTTGCGTAGGCAGCATTTTGTCAGCGAATGAAAATGAGAAGCTAAAAATTAAGTAAACGGAGTCAATCGTAATCAAAATAAAATTGATTGCAATTAGTAGATATGAAATAGTTGAAATATTAATATTAATATTAAATATAGATTAGTTTTATTTATTTGTTGAAGCGACTATAACAATAGCAATTAACAAATAACTCACCAAAGAGCCTCTTTTAGAATATATGCAGAATTAATGTTCAGGTTATAACAAAAATGAATAAATATTAATTACAAAAATATATTGAATGCGTCAAAAACATCACTACTAACTACTACGTCTATTAAGAAAATTTTAATAATCATTATAATTATCTTATTAAATATCAACGTCATGTACCAAAATAAAATATAAATTTGTGGTAGATTGCATATAAAAATGTCATTAATCAATTATTACATTTTAAAATAGTGAAAAGCTCAATTACCAAAATTTTGCTAGTATTGATGTTGTAAAATTAACTTATTGCTTGGCTTGCAATTTTCAAAATTATCTGGCTTCATTTACTATCTAATCCACGTTAGTCAATTCCTGAAAAATTGTCTCCTAAGTGATTTCCCATAATATCTCCGTGTCAATTTTAAGTATTTATCACCAATATGTGTCTCCCATAAAACTGACATATTTACTCCGCCGATCCGTAGAATTTTTGACTGACATTTCGACAATACACCATAATTTTATACGACATCGGCCTGACAACGATCCACTAAGGAGCCGCAATGTAGCCCCCCATAATTCGGGGCGCCTCAAACTATTATCTCGGGCTTTGTGGGGGCGCTCGGTGTATGAACGCGACTTACAAGAAAACGTCGCCTTCGCACTACCGACATGGGAAATGGAATGAACAGAGTAAGTAAATGCTTTGAGTTAATATTTGTTTTGTATCGCATTTGGTTTACTTAAACAGAATGATATTAATGCTTTAATAATGTGGTTTTGAGGATATGTTGTAGTTGACGATGTGTTATAGAATTATAAGAGTTATAGTTAATTTATAAGAGTGTTATATTTTTATTAGTTTATTAACTTCCTGAAGGAGAAGTTTGGTTTTTCCAAAAATACGATTTGCTAATATATGTTTTCTCAACGTAATGAGACCAAATTGGTAGAAGGTAGGGAAGTTAGAATTCATTTATTAATATATCTTGAGATCCACTGATTATATTTCAACAGGATAAATATGGATGATGCAACTTTCCTCTACCGAATCAAGTAATAACTAGTGGTGCATGGCATCGTGCCTTAAGGCAAATTGCTGGAACTTTCCGTGCCAAAAATTATTTTTTTAAAAAAGATTGAATTTTCTTTTAGAACTCTGAAAAAAATCGATTTATGAGATTTTTAAAACTTTTGATAAAAAAAACTCCTTTTTAAAAATTATGATTTTTTATATACTTTGAAATTTTTAGAAATTTGGAACTTTTTTTTAAAGCAATCGCGATTCGTTAGCTGCGTAGAAACGAAATATCGAAGCGCGTGGTCGCCGTTTTGCAGTATAACGGGTAAGCATTGGTATGGCACCCATGGAAATGTAAACAAAATTTATACTTATTATTCAAATATCTATAAATTATGTGATAATTTGATGTGCATATGTGTAATGATCGTTTTTGACCGCCAAATGGCATTTTTTCACTTTTTTTATTGGGTATCCGAAACCGCTAGACCTGCCTTACAACTAAAACTTAATACTAAACAAAAATTTAATCAGTTCTTTATTACGTCAATACAAATAAAATGTTTTTTGACTTATCCAAATCGGACGTTCCATTCTCTCAAAAACTGTATCTCCGTAACGGCTAGACCTTTGCCAAAACTTAATCAGCATTTCTCCTCATCAATACAAATCGAATACTTTTTGAATTATTCAAATCGGTTGACCCTTGTTTCCGAAATCGTCTATAAAAATTTGTATCCGCACACATACACGCACACACATACACACAAACACATATATCCATTTTATTTAAGGTATGCCAACGGTTTGAAACGTAAAGATATATAAAAATTTTCATTTTCATTTTTTTTGCGATTACTATAACTTACCCTACGGAAAGTTAATAATTTCATAAATATTGTTTATTATTTTATTATATTATTTTATATGTAATTCTTGCATATTTCAACTAGCCTCAAAGTTCTGTTTCAACAAAACACGGGTGCATTTTTTACATTAATCAAGATAACTATCTCAACAAATAAATTTTATTTAATTCTCTATTTTATTTACAACTGTCCAGCTAAGAACATTTAATAAATCACAAAAATTGTTACACGTTATTAATGATTGTTAAACTTGAAACGCGTTGACTGTGGAAATAACAATTTTGTTTACAATTATACATCTAATATTTAAATGAACAAAATTATTAAAAATTAACCGCACTAACCGAAAAATGGTCCCAGTTTCACCAAAGCCTCAGGTTATTCTTAAAAGCACTTGCAAGTTACATTGAATTTTTTTCTTCTAATTTTTCAAAGAAGAACGATAATTATACCACGTGCATTAAATTAGCGAAACAAATATTTAATTGAAATTAAAAGTAGTTCTCTATTGCTATTCTTAAATTAAAGTACTTCTCCAGTACTATTCTTTAGCAGTAGCTAGAAACGTGACGCAACTATAAAAGACTTGGCAACTTGGTAATTGCAGAAAGACCATACAACAATATACGAATCAAATAAAACACTTTCTAGGATTCCTAATTTAGCTAGAAGCAATTAAGGAAACTTTCTAGAAGACGAACTTTAAATTGATGTAATAATTTACATGTGTAATGTACTCTATAATTTAAAGAATTGCTAAAAATTAAGATCGTGCAATATCAACCGTTTCTGATGTCTACTGATAAGTTATAACAAATATTTATTAAATTATTTGTCCTCTATTTGTTATTAAATTGAAGGTCCCTACTTCAAACAAATGTACTGAAATCTGTTAACAGGTTTCATCAAAAGTTTTACAAAAAAAAATCGAATAAAAAATAAAAACCTGAAAAACCTGAGGGATTTTCACAGTACTGTCCAATTATTGAATTTTTGCTTTTAGTCATGTATAGCATCAATTAAAATAGTATTATTTTGACAAAACTGTTAATTGATTTGATATCAAACTTATTAACCGTAGATTTCAAATATGTTATATATTTTGAGCATTTGAACTATTTTATCTACATTTACGTTATTGATCAAAGTTTCATTTACAAAGTATAGTAGGGTCAGGTGCTTCCAGGTAAACAGCTCCTCAATATGTTTTTTATGTTGAATAACAAATTTACGGAAAGAAGTCAATGATCACAGCAAGCTAGGCGTTTAGCTTTTTTAATTTACACATTTCCCTTTACGAAGGCGAATGAAGCCTAATGCTTTCAGAAAAACAACTAACCGTACATAGTTGAATCCAATAGATTTTTTTGTACTTATAGATAACAACATAAAACAACAAACCGACATAAAAATATCGTGAATAAATTAATTATATATCGACACAAGATAAAAAATATAATAACAAAATTGAACTCGTACAGCGAAAGTAACTTTCCGAACAATGTATCACATTTGAATACGAATCACGTGTAGTGTTATCGAAGGCAGAAATCAGAACAAGCCGTGTGGTTGGTGTGTTTTCTGGGACTTTAGGCTGCTTAGGGTGCGTTGTAAAACGAACATAAATATATCCGGACCATAAAATATTACCTGGCCCGCGTATGGAATGCTAAAGTCACCTCAGTCAACTGGATTGCTTTCTAAAGTAACGCAGAACATTGAACCCGGATAATACACACATTCAACCTATTTAGCAGTAATAATAGAAGAAAAATCATTTTTGTGTATCTATTAGTGAATCTCGGTCAGCTCGGTGTCAAACAGTATGATAACGAGATCTCAAGATTTATTTATTTATTTATATATCCTAGCCGTCAGTATAATGATATTATAATAAGACTCAAATCAATATTTTGCAGATTTAATATAATTTAATTAACTATTAACTATTTTATTAATTATTTTTTTATTATTTAATTTATTTACAAATTTATTTATATTTAGTCAAATTTAATTATTTTTAAATATAACTAGATTGTTTGTTGGAAGTAAATGCAAGATTTAGGATAGTAAGAGTTTTGATGTAGATTTTTCTTTGTTATTTTAAAAACCGATAGTAGGTCCATTGGTCCAATTAGACTTTCTGTCTGTTAAATAAACATGTATGATAATACATAACATTAATCAAACAACTATAGAACTATGTTCAGTTTCCAATCCTAATTATAGAAATATAGTTTTTATTATTTTTCTACAGCCAGGGTGCAAACAGATAAACTTGTTTTTAATTCTAAAGAGATTTTCCGAAATATTTAAACAATTTGAATCACAATTTTTATGGATAATTTTTTTACAGAAATAGTATTGTAATAATTATATACCAATATTGATTTGCAGATTTGGACTATTTAATTTGTCTCCTGTAAAAGTGATTTTTTTACACTTCTTCAATTTTCACTTTTTTGTTCACTATTTTTTATTTTTTACATCTTTGTAAGGGTGATGTTGTTCCTTTTTACCCTACCCACCCGTAAGCTTTTATAGAGGTTATATAAAATAATATTGTTGTATCTCACTTAACATCAAAAATACATTTTTTCAAACATGTAAATACCGTAGACTTAAAAACTCTATACACTATATTAAGGTCTCGTAAACTAAACAACAGTGCTCACAACCAAAAAAAACTAAGAACGAAAGAAAATTATGAATTTTCAAACATTTATCTCCGGATTGCAACGTCTTAAGAATCAAGCTAATGGTTGATTATGCATCTTATTCTCTCTACTTTCAAATATTATTGTGTATTAAGATAAATTGTAATTGTGTATTAAGATAAGTGTATGGCATCGTGCCTTAAGATAAATTGCTGGAACTTTCCGTACCCAAAATTAAATTTTTTAAAAAGGATTAATTTTTTTTCAAACTTCAAAAAAATTAGATTTTTGACAAATTTTAAATTAAAAAAAAGACTTTTTTGAAAAAAATAGATATACTCAGACAAAAGACCAGCCTGTGATGCATGAAGGCATTCCCTTTGCTATACAAAAAAAACATACACAGACATATATACACACACACATGCATCCATTCTTTCTAAGGTATGCCAAAATGTTCAGAAACCTTTGAAACGTTAAGATATATAAAAATTTTCATTTTCGATTTTTTTGCGATTACTATGACTTACTCTACGGGAAGTTTAAAAGTTCTCAACTTGTTTTTGTGATATCGGAGGTGGACCTTTTTATTCAATGTCTTTCAAGTCCCACTCTATTCTATATAGTAATATATGTAACTAAGGATATAAGTGAATATTTTGAATAGAGACTTGAATGAATGCCACAAACACCCTCATTTTTATCTCGAGTTATTATCGCCTAATATGTATTCTTACATAGTAATACGCAAATTCATTCTAGAATATCCCATATCCATTGTTATTTTATTTCTATTTTATTTCCAAGAATATACAAAATAAGAAGTATATAGATCCACGATTCAGTGCTTCGATTTCTCGACTCAATTTCTGTCGTTTTGTCAATTTATTTCGAGGGATGAGTTGGGATTTGCAAGCTCAGAAATTGTATGAATAACCAATCATTTTGAAAGTAAGGGGAAATGAAAGAAAGGAGAATTCTGTGTATTTGTAACAGTTTTTTTACTTAATCGATGATGAAATTCTCTTTAGAAAATTTTATCATTAATATACACAGCTTATACTTACTTTTGCTCGTTCTCCTGGCGAGCTTAAACTTTTACAGATAGTCATTTATTTTTTGCCGTTTTTAATAAGTTTACCTATT